AAGTCTTTCTTGCTCTACCGGTTATTTTATTATTTACTAATCATATTTTTGTATGAACGTTCCAACGACTTAATTTTATTTTTCACTTGTAACGGGGTTACAGGGTAAATTACTATGACCCATTTCTTGTGCAATTTGTTTCCATAAAATTTTATAAGCTTTTATTTTCCTTGTATTTACAAGGTTTTTTTTAGATTTATAAGTGTAACAACAGTTTTGTTGATGCAACGTTCCAAAACCACGATGAAATTGTATTTGTAATAGTTTTATTTTGATTATTCTGATCATTCTCATCATTTTGATCATTTTGATAATTTTGATCATTACGATCATTTTCATCATTTTGATCATTTTGAATATTTTCATCATTTTGATTTTGTGTATTATTACATATTTCTCTTTTTGTTTTAGAAAGGTCTACACAAATTTGAGTTCCATCAAGAATAAAGATTAAAGTATCCAAAGAAAAATTCCTTTCGGAATCTCTCTTCGGAAATTTTAACTGTTTTCCATCTAAGTAAAAAATGTTAAAAGATATATTTACTCGCTTATAAAAATATTAGCGCGCTTTTTTGTCATTTTATCCTTGTTTTATTGAATGTTTTATTGAATCTATTGAATGATAATGATTGAACGATGAAAAAGTACGCTAACATTTCTATATGCTCTGAGAGAATATGGATCATAATTTAAGAATATCACTTTATATAAGATGTTTTATTTAACTAGACTCAAAATAACTTGTTAATTTTTAAAGATATATAAAAGCAGAAGAGAACTAAGTTAAATTTGACATTCTGTACAGCAAAGTTATATAACAAAGTTATATAAATAATTTGTTAAAAATACTTGTAATACCTTCAATTATGCAATTTACACATCCATTTGAATTCACTTTTATTTTTCCAAAGTGTTCAACTGTAAAAAGTCACGTAATTGCACAATCTGCTGCCATTTTAATATTACTTTTTTATAAATATATAATAATTCTGAAAACAAACGTTATAAAAAGTTACGTATAAAAGAATGTGTATATATTTATTCGTTAAATAACTAGTTTGAATTTCGCGATGAAGTAAAAAATTCACACGAAAGAAACACTCACTGAATTGTACGCAAGTCAATAATTTATTACTTAATTTATACACTTAATACGGTTTACAAGAAAAAAACGTAATGTACATGGAACTAATTACACTATTTAAATTTGCAAACACGAAGCGATCGCGACGAACGATTTTGCGCAAGTAATGATAATTCTTTACAAGGCAAGCAACCTCGTAAAACACTGCGATTTAATACTTTTGAGAGCAAGCAATTCTACGAATTTTGACTAATGCCGGCACTGATTCTGCTTTGTTGATAAGCTCAGACAGACGCTGCGGGCTGTCTCGGCATTCTTTTTATACTGCAAAAGTTCTAGATTGTTCCTTTCGCAACGACTCCGGAACTTGCGTCAGGAAAAGAATCTAGAATTATAATTTTCGTTAAATTAAATAATTGTTATTGTTTATAAGTCAAGAAGACAATACCTGCTGTCAAGCGCTAATTGGCTTTCTGACTTCGAATCTGCCGCTGCGATTCGATGGCAGCGCGTGTACTCGCGCGCAAATTGGCACGCGTTGTTCTTTTCAGTCTTCAACCATTTTTGCACTTTTTACTTCTTCTTAAGATCAAGTACAAAAAGTGTTGCAAGAAATGTAACTGCACTGGCAAAACGAACAGCGGTTACATCATGTCCGGTAACAAAAACAAGTTAATGTACACTTAATGCAAAAGTACAAAAAGTGCGTGCAACACGAACAAATCTATAGTTGTACATTATACGTTATAGTTGTACATTATACATAAGTTAATTTATCTTTACATAATTTATCATATCTATTTATCATACCTTTACAATTATAAAAGAAAGCAATATATGTAGTTATAAATAAACTTTAAATTAATAAACGTAAATGTTTTATAATTAAAAATATCTAGTATGAAAATTGGAGATATCCATTTTATTAATAATATAATTCTTATTGTAGATTTGGATTTTGCAATGCCACATATTTGCTGTGTATTAAGATGTTTTAATAATTCCGAGAATTCCGGTGCCCCCTGATACAACCGCACATCCAACCGATTCTAAGCACCGGGGTACACCCCGGTCAGCCGAGCAAGCATACGCTCGGCAAGCACACCGAAACCTTCCGCTAGATCTGGGGTTCTCCCCCGCTGGCCGAGTTCACTTGGCATCCTCTGTCAAGGCGAAGGGCATACCCTCCGCCAGTCAAATACATTCGGCAGAGAACGGATACACCCGTTCTTCGACTCGAGTGGTCATAGCATCCTTTCGCGAAAATTCCACCCTCGCGACAAAATCAAACGCCCGCGATCATAGACACGCGTACGCGATCTAAATCATCCCGTTTAAAGGTCCACAAGTACACGTGCGATATCGGCGTACATCTCGTGTGTCCCGCATCACCGAATTACGCAGCGATATCAGTATCGCGCCGACTGCCGAAGCGATACCTCAAATATACAAAAACGCGTAAACACGCGCCGATCGCTGACTCGCCCGTTCACGGCCAATTCGATTCACATTCCTTTCAAATAACTGTGCAGCCTGAAACTGTGCATCATGAAAATGTTTCCATCCGATTTATTGTTATTTCGTTCGTTGTTGCCTAATAAATTCATGTTATATCATAATTTCGCCTCCGATCTAATTTTAACACTAAAAATTCTGTCTCCAATGTCTTCGCTTCCTCATCTGGTAACCGACTGATCGCTATTCGCACGGGAAAGCGAGACCGTTTTAATATTTTACCGTTTATTACTATAATTTTACTCTTACTATCACTGTCACTGGTCGCTTTATTCGATTCTTCGATTCTCGATATGGATTGCTAGACGAAGACTGACCGTGAGAGAGAGCGTTCGCTCGCGAATTTCGTGTGCTTATATATCCCGCTCGCAGAGGTATGCGGATAATTATTGTGTATATACAGGGTATTGCATCAACATATTAGGCAGAATGCGTGACAGATTTTGCAGGGGCAGGCGCGGTTCAATAGATAATGACAACATATACATGTATCATCATAATTTACCGAACGAATGGATCGCGTGTCTTTATGTCAATAAAATTTGCATCGTTCCAATTATGATTTGGATAATAATTGCTGTGATTATAAGAGGAATCGAAACGACAATTAAAGATGAAAAATTGAATTTTAAGTGATGTATAATATGATTTAAGTTAACATGATTGAATTTAAAGTTAACGTGATGAAAAAATAAACATGATAAAACATTAAAAACATTGAAAACTTTGAAAATATTAAAAACGTTAAAAACATTAAAAATATTGAAAATTTTGAAAATATTGAAAACGTTAAAAATATTTCATAAAAAATGTTCAAAATATCCTCCAAACTCTTCACAATGCGACTCATGAAACTATGTCGCATAGCAAGTGTTATGTACTTAGCATAACAGGTGTTATATTGCGACTTGCTGCTTCAATTTTTTCTTTAATTGTCGTTTCGGCTTCTCTTATAATAATCACAGCAATTATTATTCAAGTCTATCATAATTGAAACGATGCAAACTGTATTGATATAAAGGCGATCCACTCGCTCGGTAAAATATAATAGTATATGTATATGCTGTTATTACCTATTAAACCGCACCTGCCCCTGCAAAATCATCATTCGACATACTGCCTAATATGTTGAGGCAATATCCTGTACATTTCCGAACCAATCACGACAAATCGATCGTTATTCCTTTGAAATCTCACGATATTTTCAATTATAACATGATACTTTTCGAAGAATCGACGTCAATACTAAAAATATGCCTACATATAATAATATAAGAAAATGGAAAAAAAATTTTATAATTAATAATATTGCACATATAATGGAATCAAATAGCGGTGAATCTGATAGTGACTCTGATGCAATGGAGGAAATGTTAATATTAAGAAAAATAAATCAAATTCTATACCTAAAATACGTTATAAAAGATGTAGTATCCCGATATACAAACAAAGAATTTAAAACTCACTTTCGATATATTTTTATAATCTTTTGTTCTTTGTAGATACGATAAACTGTTTCTGTAATTTTACTAAAATATATTTATTTTAGATTACATTAGAATATATTTTTTTATATTGGAATTAATAAGGCCAATCTTAGAAAGGGATGAAAAATCAGATAGATCTCTCTCCTAAAAAGCAATTAGAGCAATAATTTCATATATAATAATGTTTATATAAACTTGGTGTAGCGTGAATGATCGAATTCGCTACAATAATATCAAACTTTATTTTTATCTCGCAATGCTTTTTGTGCGTCTTCTTTATTATTATTTTATATTGAATATTTATTTCTGCATTGAGTAGAGTTAATTCTTCTTTCTCGAATGTCGCCATTTTGTACTGTAACTGCTGCGTCTTTTTAGCTACAATAGTCGCAGCAGGAAGTGATGCAAAATTTATGACGTCATTATTCTATCGTAGTGCTATCGCATACTGGAATGACTTTCGGAACGGCATTACAGTACTGCCAGTACTGGTAGTGAGTTACGGAACGCAGTCAGGGTCTCTAATAAGGATGAATGAGCTCCTCATTTTTATCGCGACGCTATCTCGCCACTATCACACGGAGTTTTTAGTTGAGTAGTCAGGAGTCTTAATTATTTTATTATATACATATTTTTTTAAGTTTCAATATTTTATTTTGAACAAATAAATTTAGAATTTTATTATAATCCTATACATGATTTATACAAGCAAACTTATTGTAGTTTTCTCAATACACAATCTTCTCACAAATCATATATACATACATATATACATATTCCATCATTTTATATTTTCTATTTTTCTATTATCTGTTTTGTTATTTGCAGCACTGTCAGAATCAATCATCTGTTCATGTTTCGGTAGTCTCAATTTTTGTTTAGATGTTTTTTGCGGTATCAATGCCGCAATGACATATCTGCCTTCCTCATTAACAAAATTGAACACCGTACATGCATTGTACACGGAAATTATTTCTGCAGTAATACCGAGCTTCTTCACGCACTCTCGGAGATTTTTAATATAAAAGAAATCGTATTGGTCGTCTAAGCCTATAATTAAAAGATCAGGTTTTGGCTCGAGGATAGTGAATAATGAAAGCGATGCATCATTTATGTGCTTGCTGGATTCAATATTCCAGCAGATGGCATGTCTGGGAAAGATTACCATTGGTCCTATCACTTTTGTACCAGTGTTTAATGTAAAACCGATCTGAAAAATAAGAAATCATAATCTAAAGATGATATATTTTGCCTTAAAATAAAATCTTGGTTTCTCCATATAAATAGAATAAATAAAACAATGTTGAAGAATTTTTAGTAATGACCGCTTGTACATGAAAAGTAGATTTGTTTTAAGTTAACATTATGAATATAAAGCAGAATAAGATTTGTTAAAACATCGTAATAATTTCTCGAATGTTTGATTATGATTAATCTATTTTTGTCTTTTTTTAAAAACGTTCATGTTATAAACTTCACTTTGTCCTATAATCAATTTATAAAATTCTCCTGCAATATAATATTATTAAGAAACTTTCAGCATATTATTTAGTTGTATCCTACTGATAATTTGAATAATAGAAGAGCTCTGTTGCCTTTAGATTATAAGCCCAGAGTTTAGCAAATAAAAGAAAAATATTTTTTATATTGCCGAATATAATTTATCAAGATGGTTTACGAATTTCTTTTCCAAAGTTGAATAATACAAATTGACAAACATGGAAACAGTTAATGCAGATGCTTCTTAAAAGAGAAGATCTATGAACTATACTTGTGAAACCAAAGCCGGAAAAAAGCAATCCAGAATATGCTGTTTGAAAGAAAACTGATCGAAAGACGCGCTCCATGATTGGTTTGTTTCTAAAACTAAATCAGTTGCCTTTAATTATAATGGCATATGAAACATGGTCAGCTCTTAAATATATCATGAGAAGGTGATGGTTTCTAAAAGAATATTACTGCTAAAAAAGATGTGCCGAATGGAGCTAGGAGAAAAAGGTAATATGGACAAACACATTATTGAAATTGAAGATCTTTTTGATCAGCTTGGTGATGCAGAACAAGATTTGGATGAGCCTTTTAAGGTAGCGATGATTTTAGCTAGTTTATCAAATTTTTATGAGAGTCTCATACAAGCCCTAAAAAATCGGCCGAATAAAGTTTCGCTTGAATTAAAATCGAAATTAATGGATCAACATTCAAAACGAGTTGCGAAGAGTGATGATATGGAAGTTGAAAAAGCTATGAAGTCAGAGACGAAGATTTATAAGACAGAAAAGACTTGTTTTTTTTCTGTAAAAAGCCAGGATTCCGACATTTCCAAAAGAATTGTCGGAAATTTTTAGCCAAGAAAAAGGAAAGCTTCTTTAGCAAGAAACGTGATAATAAGGATGCTGAAGAAACATATACAAGTTTTGGATAAAACTATTTATTTTATGGCTGAAATAAATGGTGAATGAATCATTAACAGTGGAGCAACATGTCATATGACAAATGATAAAATTTCTTTTCCACATTCACAAAAAATACTGGAGATGTATCTTTGGCGGAGCAAGTGAACAAAGCAAATGAACAAAAGTAACAGGCTTTGGAGATGGAATAATTGTTGGAATAAATGACTTTGTAAATCAATAAAAATAACTTTAAAAGAAGTATTGTATGTGCCTGATTTTAAAGGAGGGTTTATTTCGATAAGTAGAACGGCAATTAATAGATTTGCTGTGATTTTTGGAGAGACAGACTACAAGATCCAAAATAAAAATAGTGAAGTAGTTGCTGTTGGTGATAAAATTAATAATTTGTATAAATTGAAGTTATCAAATCAATCTTTCAAAGCCGTCGGTTATCACAAGCGATGTCAACATTTGGCACCGGAGATTAGGTCATCGGGATCCAGAGATTATGCGGACAATAGTATTTAAAAATTTGGCAAAAGATTTTAATATTAGTGATTGTGGAGCTCGTATTGTTTGTGAATGTTGTCTTAAAAATAAGCTTACGCGTACATCCTTTCCAAAGTTTGCTAAAAGGAAGACTAAACGACCTTTAGAATTAATACATACTGATCTTGTGGATCCATGCAAACTATAACGCCTGAAGGTAATAAATATTTTATAACTATGATTGATGATTATAATCGTTTTACAGCAATGTATTTGTTAAAATTCTGATGCAGCTGGAAAAATAAAACAATATGTACAATGGGTACAAAATTATTTTAATAGAAAACTAATTACAATTTAGTAGGTTCTGATAGTGATAAGGAATATGTTAATCAAGATCTGCATGAATTTTATAAAATTGAAGGAATAAAGGCAATATACAATACCTTATACTCCGCAACAAAATGGAGTGGCAGAGAGAAAGAATCGGAGTTTGACTAAAATGGTAACTTGTATGTTATTAGATGCTAACTTACTAAAGAAATATTGGGGTAAGGCTATTTTGACAGCAACATACTTGCAAATTGTTTGCCATCTCGTGCTGTTGATCGCACATGAATTATGGACTGATCGAAAGCCAAATTATGAAAGATTTAAAGTTTTTGGATGCAAAACATATGTTCTTCTGCCAGAAATAAAGCGATCAAAATTTGATACTAAAGCATAAAAACTGGTTTTTGTAGAATATTCAAATGAACATAAATATCGTTTCTTAAATCGTATAACAGATAAAATAATGATTAGTCGTGATGCTCGTTTTATTGAACTAGATAATAATTCTGAGCGATTGACAAAAATGAATGATAATCAAGAAAAATAAATGAAAGAAAAACAACAGACAGAAGAAAATAAAGTAGATTTTTTAAAAATAAAATCGACTGAAGACAATATGCAAATAAATTCTGAAGAAAAACAACAAGATATGGATAATTATGTTTCTCAAGAAAATCAAATAGTATTTTACAGGAAGATTTTCAGGAAGCACTAGAAGAATCAGCGTCGAATTTAAATCGTGAAAATCGTCGAAACAGAGAGACTTTGCCTAAACGCCTTTGGGATTTTGTAATCGATGTGCAATATGAAGAAGAACCAACTGAGTTGCAATGACTACAAAGTTGCAATGAAGAATCTTAAATGGCATGCAATAGAGGATGAACTAAAATCACATAAAGAAAATAAAACAACCGGGAACTAACACAATTACCTGTTGGAAAGAAACCTGTGTTGACTCTAAATGGATTTTTAAGTTGAAGCGAAATGAAAAAGAAGAAATAGTTAAATACAAAGCAAGACTAGTGGTACAGGATTATAATCAACAGACTATAGAACAGACTACGGAGAAGTTTATGCTCCTGTTGCTCGACAAAGGACAGTATGAGCTTTCTTGGCAGTTGCAAATAAGAAAGATTTGATGTTAAAACATATAGATGTTAAAATTGCTTATTTCAATGAAGTAATTGAAGAAGTGTATATGCATTAACCGCCTGGTTTCACAGGAGGAGCTGTAAAAGGAGGAGTTTGTATGTAGATTAAAGAAAAGTATTTATAGATTGAAGCAATCGGCTAGATGCTGGAATCAGGCATTGCACACTATACTCTTAGATCTTAATTTTAAACAATGCAATTCGGATTCTTGTTGTTTGTACATACAACAGTGTCAAGACAACAGACAGCAAGAAGGTAGTTTATTTTCTAATTTATGCTGATGATATGCTAATAAGTAGTATAAAAGAATCAGAAATCGATGGAGTTTTTCAAAGAATGAAGAGTTTTAAGATAACATGTCTAAGTTTCATAAAACATTTTTTAGGATATGAAGTACAATATGAGAATGGTTGTTATAATATGTGTTTGACAAATTATAATGAAAATACATATAACAGGCAGATTTGGGATGAAAGATGCTAATCCTACAAAAATTCCAATAGATCTTTGTTATACTGGGATAAATGAAGGAAACAAACTTTTTCAGAATAAAACGTTATCGAAGTCTAGTGGGTGCATTACTCTATTTAATGGTTAATGTCCGATCAGATATTGCGGTTAGTTTTGGGATATTAGGAAGAAAAGTTAGTGCGCCAATGAAGATTGGAAGGCAGCTAAACGTATTGTTCGTTATTTAAAAGAGACGAAAGATTTCAAACTAAAATTTGAACCTGAGATGGTTGGACATTAAAGGGATATTCAGATTCAGATTGGGGAGGAGATTATAATACACGTTCGACTACTGAATATATTTTTTCTATGAAAGTGGATCTGAATGAGTAAAAGACAAACATGTGTATCATTATCAATGATGGAAGCGATCAATATAATGCTTTAGCTGCAACTTATCAAGAAGCAATCTGGCTGCGACATTTATTTGAAGATTTAGATTTAGAACCATTAAAGGAACCAATCATTATAAATGAAGATAATCAAAGTTGCATGAATTTTGTTAAAGTAGAAAGAACAAATGGACGTGTAAAACATATTAATACAAAACAGCATTTTATTAAGGAGTTGTGTCAACGATATGAAACAGAATTGCAATACTGTCCAATGGCAGAGTTATTAGCAGATATTTTAACCAAGCCGCTAGGAACATCAAAATTCAAGTATTTTTTTAAACCGGATTGGATTATCTAAATAACATTGATAAATAACATTGATTGGCGGTCATTAAGGAGGAGGAATTTTTGTAATGACCGCCTGTATATGAAAAGTACATTTGTTTTAAGTTAATATCACAAATATAAAGCAGAATAAGATTTTGTTAAAACATCGTAATAATTTCTCGAATGTTTGATTACGATTAATCTATTTTTGTTTTTTTAAAAACGTTCATGTTGTATACTTCACTTTGTCCTGTCAATGTAATCAATTTATAAAATTCTTCTCCTGCAATATAATACTATTAAGAAACTCTCAGCATATTATTTAGTTGTATCCTACTGATAATTTGAATAATAGAAGAGCTCTGTTGCCTTCAAATAATAATCAAAATAAAGGCTTCTAATAGCTTCTAAAACCGGAACAAGAAAGGAGCATAAAAGCCAGATAGGATTTTCGCATTTAAAATAAAATTTTAATTGTAGAATTAATAATAAATAAAAATTTTTATAATTATAAGTTTTTCTTAATTAATTTTTGTAAATACAAGCTAGTAAAAATTTGTTGGCAAATTAATCAAGTCATGTTTGCAT